TCGCGAGAAGCGGGGCACAGAGGGCACGTGGCCGCCTGAGAACCAGCCCAAATGGCCACGGGACGGGACATCAGCGACGTTCCATTCTGAAGGGATCCACCTGCTGACAAATCTGGTACCCGAACGAAGACTGAGACAACAAAGCTTGCGAAGTACGCGTTGGAGATGGACGGCATTCGCTCTGCCCTTTGCCATGGCGAGGGCCAAAGGAAGATTGTCCACAAGCACGAGACAGCGGGTGCCAAAGTTGCTACAGCTTCGGAGCAGGTGTTTCACAGCAAGCAGCAAAGCGTCGCCCTCCAGGCAAAGGATGCTAGCTTCGCCCAAGACCTTAGCAGCCAAGATGGTAGACCAAGACTCCGCCTTGAAGATCCACTCGGGGACCTCGTTGAAAGCTCAAGCCCACTGTAGGATGTAAATGGGGTCCACCGAGGCCTTGGAGGGCAGGTCCGGGAGGTTAGCCCCAGGGTTCACGGAGATCTCAAAATCGTCAATGTTACTAGTCATCAATGTAGAAGCCGAAGTATCACCCACAGGAGGAGGAGGAGATCCGCGAAGGGCAGAGTGTCTAGCGCGTGCACAGCCCTCCACCTTGAAGCGCCACCTCTCCGAACAGCGCCCAATCGAGCCCACGGTGTCCGGATCCAGCAGGCGCGAACGGATACCGAGCCCATACTCGGAGGCGTCCGATGCCAGAACTCGTGGGCTCCACGGCGCCGACAGGTCGGCAGCAAGGAGCGGCAGCATACCTCTGATCCAGCTCAGCTCGCGCAACACTCCAGGCCAAAGCCGCGTCGGCCTGGGGCCTGCACTATGCTGGAAAGCGTACACATCTGAGAACAGAGCCAGACATTCGCGACGAACGAGACCGGCCCACGTAAGGTGCCCCAAGAGGATCTCCACCAACTTCCCACTAGCCACCCGTTTCCGAATGACGATGTCAAGAGCCCGTCTGAGTCGCCATACGTTATGACGCCGAATCGAGAGCCTCCGACCGCCCACGAGCTCGCCCCCCAAGAACTCGGTGCCCTTGGACGCGTCCGACATCTCGTGGACCAGGAGCCCCAAAGTTGCGAGGTGCTTAGCGATGGCGCCACGGCCCGCCTGGGCCCTCGAAGCCGAGCGGCTGAACACGAAAAAGTTGTCGACGTACCCCGCGACGACGCACGACTCCTCATCCTTCAACTCCTCACCGGGCCCCCCGTGAACCCAGACACCACCAAGCTGTTGGCGAGCACAGTCTGAACGAGATGCATAGCCCACGACCATCCCATGGGAAGCACCGCGAGCACCGGCGCGAGCGAATCTCTGGGGCTCACCGCGCGCCCCTCGCACGTGGAAAGCCCAAGATACCCCGCCGCGATGTCAGGCAACGGAAAATACTCACACAGCTCGCTGGGTAGGCCAACGCGGTGGAAGCAGTTGTCGATGTCCCCGCCGGAGACATACATGCCCTCGGAACCCGGCTCGACGGAACTGAGGGCTGAAGAGGTGGGGGGGGGTCTCGTGGAAAAAGGCCCCCCCCCCCAAAAAAAAGTTTACCTGCCTGGTATCGAAGATCAAACGCAAAGCCCCTGACTTCTTAGCTACGAAGAAGATGCCCACCCTGGCGCGAGCTGTGCAAGAGCGCCTAAAAGAAATCATGTTCCTCTGAGCGAGGTCCTTTAAAAAGTCAGCGCAACAGAAAGGCCTACCCGTCAGCGCCCTATCCGTGTAGGGGCCGCGCGGGCAGGCCTCCGCCACAAGCGTGAGGGCCTCACTCTCCGGTCTGAGCAGATCGCCACAGGAAGGCCCCAGCCACTCGCGGTCGCCCTCGGCGAGCAAGTCCAGCAACGGCACGGGCTTGCCAGCACCATCGGGCAGGGAGACGTTTCCCTTGGCGTATGGGCGAGTGCTGGAAGGCTCCGAGCGGCACGGGCCGCCAGCGGCGCAGAGCTCGGCGAGGGCTCCCGCGCCTCCGGGTGAGTCCGCAGGGGGCCCACCCAATTGCAAGAACTGCGACTCGATGTGGGCCAGGGACGCGCGCTGACCAGCGTTGACAGCTGATGACGGCTGCTCCGACTTCGCAAACCCATAGGCAGCGTTGAGGGAGTCGATGCAGCTGTTCGCCCAATCGATCGTCTTGGAACTCCTCTGGCGTCGCCTGCCAACGACGCGGCTGCACCCGGGCCCGGGCCCTCCAGCACCGCAGCGGAGCGTCAGCGGCGGCAGCGGGAACAGGTCACGTTGCCGAGGATCAGGGAGCGGCCCAGCCGAAGAGGAGTCGCGTGCATCGCCAGCAAAAGCAGCGCCGGGGTGGCGAAGCCCGGGCGGGGGCCTGAAATGGCCGGCGGGGGTGGCCCTGTCCTCGCCGCCGGCAGCCTGCCTAACCATCATCGCCGCCGCCGTCTCTGCCACCCTTGGCCTTCGCTTTGGCCTTCGTGGCAGTCTGGGCGGCGGCGCGTTCTTCACGGGCCTTCCTCCTCTCCTTCAGGATCGCGTGCTCCTGAGCCAGTTCCTGGCTGACCCATGCCTGCAAGGCCGGGCACACGCAGCAGTTGCCGCGCACCAGCTCAGTCCCAAGGTACAGGTGCTGATCCATGCGCACGGGGTCCGCAGCGCCTGCCGTCCTCTCACGATACTTCTCCTCGATGATCTGCAGGCTCCTGCCGAGAAGTTCGAAGCTGGCCATCTCGGTCACATTCAGTTGGTCGAAGCAAACGGCATTCTCGAGGGCGGTGCAGATCCGCAGGTGCTCCTCAACACCGCCCTCGTTTGTCAACCTGCAATCGGTCTTCCACCGATGGTGGCGCGCGATGGGACTGCCGCCGATGCCTGCTAGAAAGTGACAGACCCACTTCAAAGTCCGAGGGCCGGCCAGCCCCGAGGTCCTCTTCGTAGCTGCCCCCGTCTGGCGTGTAGCAAGCACACACCGCGCCGGCCTGCTGAGGCAGGTAAACGCACAACCGTTCATGCCAGAGAGGCGGCCCCGGCACCTGAAAGCGCACCAGGTAGAAGTCCCCCTCTGCGAGGCCTGCAATCTCTAGGCCATTCACCGCCATGGGAACGATCTTACTGCAAGTGACGAGCTCTCACCTGCCGCAGCTGTTCCTGAGCCTCGCGCTGTAGATCCAGTCCCTGGGCGGCGTCCTCGGGCGACCTGATCGCCGCACACGCACTTGATGCGGCACCGGCACGGCAACTCGGCGAGCTCCTCGATCGGCCTAAGTGCCAGGCGCCGGGCAGCTGGGCGAGCGCGAAGCCCACGGCCACGCACAGGGGCAGCACGATCCACCCGTACGAATAGTGCGGCCCGCAGTGCACGGTGGGGCACGCAGGGCAGGTGAAAGCACAGTTGCAGGCCGGGCACTGGCAAGCGCAGTCTGGGCACCCGTGCCCTGCCGCGCGCACAGCTGCGCCTATCCCCACCCCTCGGATTATCTCGAAGAGCCCCTGCTCCAGGAGTTCCATGGAAAGGCGTGGGCTTTCGCTTGAGCCGAACGTTGCGGTTCGGCGTCCCTCCTCTTTTCTTCTTGCTTAAACATTGAAATGTGGGGATATGTATATATAGGTATGTATGTATGTATGTATGTATGTATGTATGTATGTATGTATGTATGTATGTATGTATGTATGTATGTATGTGTGTGTGTGTATGTATGTATGTATGTATGTATGTATGTATGTATGTATGTATGTATGTATGTATGTATGTATGTATGTATGCATGTGTGTGTATGTATGTATGTATGTATGTATGTGTGTGTATGTATGTATGTATGTATGTATGTATGTATGTATGTATGTATGTATGTATGTATATATGCATGCATGTATGTATGTATGTATGTATGTATGTATGGTTGTATATATGTGTGTATATATATGTATATATAGGACCCCCAAGGAAGCCCGTAGGAGTCCTTAAGGAATCCTTGGGGATCCTTAAGACATCCGTGATATTCTTAAGACATTCATAAGACTCCTTCGGAAATCATTAGGATACCGAGGACATCCATGGGAATCCTTCGGAAACCCATCGGGTTCCTTAGAAATCCAAGTGCATTCCCCCGAAATGCATACGATTCCTTTGGAAATCCGTCGGAATCTTTCGGACATCAGCGAAAATCTCGAGCGGGAGCGTTGTTCTTGCTGGAGCGGCGCCAATTCAAAAGAAAGTAAGGCACCAGCCCAGCGTAAAACGGAACGAAGTCTCGGGCGGGAGGACTGGTTTTGTCGGAGCGGCGGTTTTCGGCGGCGAGGAGGAGCACCGCCTTGAATAAAAAAGGAAGGAAGCCTCGATCGGGAGCGTTGTTCTTGCTGGGGGCGGCGCCGATGAAAGAAAGACTAGCGCGCCAATCCAAGGTAAAACGTGTGGAAGTCTCGAGCGGGAGCGCTGGTTTTGTTAGGACGGCGGCTTTCGGCGGCGACCAAAAACACCAGCCCTGAGAAAAAACATGGAAATCTCGAGCGGGAGCGTTGTTGTTGTTGGGGGGCCGGTTTTGCCCCTAACCAGACCGCTCGAGCGTGAGCCTCATTTTCAATGAAAATGTAGCCAGCGCCTCGACGAGAGCGCCAGGGCGCCTTGAAGAGGTCCAACAATAGTAATTGTGTATTGCTGAACATTCAGCAACGACAACAACAACACCAACAACAACACCACCACCAACAACACCAACAACAACAACAACAACAACAACAACAACAACAGCGACAACAATAACAACAACAACAACAACAACAACAACAACAACAACAACAACAGCGACAACAACAACAACAACAACAACAACAACCACAACCACAACCACAACCACAACCACAACCACAACCACAACCACAACCACAACCACAACCACAACCACGACGACGACGACGACGACGACGACCAGGACGAGGACGAGGACGAGGACGAGGACGACGACGAGGACGACGACGACGACGACGACGACGGCGGTTGCAGCAAACGACCAACAACACCCTTGGTCGCCGTCGGCGCGAGTGCGGGCCCCCCAGGGCACCTGCGGCGACCACCCTAGGACAGCCGCGGACCCTTTCAGCGCTGCCAGCGGGGCCAGGCCGAGCGCGGCGCCGACGGCGAGCCGCGTCGCGGCGGCGACCCACCCACGCGGAGCGACGGCCTCCAACGCGCCTCCGCCGCCGCGGCGCGCGCCGCCCCGCCTGGGAGGACGACCCTGTACTTGCCGCCACTTGCCCCAAATGAGAACCTTGGCTCGCGCCCGCTCGCCGGGCTGGCCCGGCGGCGTGCCCCTGCGGCCCGCCAGGCCGGCCCGGCGGCCCGCGCGCCCAGGGCCAGGGATGGGCCCGCCGGTCCTCCCGAATCCCTCAGGAGATTCCAAAGAAGCCCCCGGTGAGCCCCCAGGAGTCCCCGAAGACGTCCGGGCTCGGCGCCGCGGGCAGGCGATTGAAGCCCCACCAGCCGCCGCGGGCGGCGAGCGGCCAGCGCCGAGGCAGAGGTAGGCGCGGGCACGCGAGGGCGCATTAGCACGGCCCAGCCCCGCGGCACGTCGAGGCAGAGCCAGGCGCGGGCGGGCGTCGTGGAGCGGGAGGGGGGCGCCACAGGAGAGGCGATGGGGGTGAGGAGCCGGGGCGGACTCTCCGATCCAAGCGACCCCCCAAAATAGCGACGGCAGTTTGAAACGTGCTCGGCATCAAGAGGACGAATTTATGGGCCCCGACACCGTCGAAACATTACTCAGGACGCGACATCAGCCCTGAGGAAGGGAGCGAGATCTCTGGGGGCCCGTGACACAAAAAGAAACGCAACGGCGGAGAAAAGGAGAGCGGACCCTGGGCAACCCGCGGCTGTTCGGAGCACATGCTGGGCACGCGGCGCAGCAGTCAGGCTGTGGCCGCTGGTACTCTTTCCTCGGCGTGCAGGCTCAGGGAGGGTGGGACGGAAAGAAGGGGGAGGAGAGACACAGAGAGAGCGGAGGTCGAGGTGAGACCAACCCAGGACAGCCCCAGACAGCCTTGATGGGGCCCAGGACATCCCAAGAGGGCCCCAGGAGAGCCCCAAGAGTGCCCCAACAGTGCCCCAGCACCGCCCCAAGAAACTCTCCAGGCGGCTGGGAGGGGCCTAAGAAGGCCCTAGACAGCGCCAGGACAGCCCAAGATAGCCTCAAAAAGACCGAAAAGGAGCTCAAGACAGTCCCAAGACGGCGTGATCCTCGCGAGAACTCCTCAAATAACAGAAAGGAAATGTTTCACGTGTTACGGCCTTAGGTACTCGAAGAGTCGCCCCACACAGGATGCTGCGCTGGCACTGTGGCGGGACTTGCCGCAGGCAGCTGAATATCCGCCGCCCCCTGTTGATTCATTACAGGGGTGCCTGGCGTGCTAGACCCTCTCGGTTTTGGTTGTGGCTCTTTTTCCAAAAGAACTCCCCCTGGGGTTCCGGCGCGTCCCGCCGGCCGCCCGGAAAGGATCTCAAAGAGCTCAATCCGGAAAAAATCTTCCAAGATGGTTCAAGACGGCCTCCAAGATGGCCACGTTGGCCCAAGATGGCCTCCAAGATTGTCCAAAATGGCTTCCAAGTCCGCCCAAGATGGTCCAAGACGGCCTCCAAGACGGCCCAAGAGAGTTCAAGATACCTCCAAGACGGCGCAAGACGACCCAAGCGGCCTCCAAGAGGTCCTTTTGGAAGGCCCGAAGAGACCAAAATAATGTTTGTTCTCTCAGGTTCTGAAGGATTTTGGGATTTGTTTCTTCTCGGCAGTCCGACGGTTCAAGACGGCCCACGAGGCCCCCAAAATCGCCCAAGAGGCGCCCAAGCGGCCTCCAAAACGGCCTCAGAGGGTCCCACGACGGCCCAAGAGGCCTCCAACACGCCCAGGACGGCCTTCAAGACGCAAAAAATGGCCTCCAAAGACGGCCCCGAGGCGCCCCAAGAGGGCCCCAAGTCGACCCAGAAAGGCCCCCAAGACGGCTCCCGACGGCGTCAGACGTGCCAGGAACCCACCAAGATGGCCGAAGTAGTTTGAAAGGGGCTGGGAGGCCCAACCAGCAGCTTCGCTTTAGGCGAAGCCAAGCTCCAGCTCTGTTATACGGTAGTGACGATAGTCCCAGTAGTAGGAGGGGAGCTATCTCAAGCAGTGTTTTGGTATCGATGGCAAGTAATACACCTCGCGCTGAGGTGTAGTCAGATCTGGGCGGCCGGCCGCTTTGAGCCAAGCAGCCACGGACTCACGCTCGTTCCACTCACATGAAACGCCCGGCTCACTTTAGAGTGAAGTTGGCTCGAAGCTGGCCCAAGACGGCCCAAGAGGCCCCCAAGAGGGCCTCCGGGAAGGCCAGAAGAGGCCACAAATGCTAATTGTCCTAAGGGTTTTGACTGATTTTGACATTTGCTTCTTTTCGGTTTTCCGACGGCCCGAAACGGCCCAAGAGTCTGAAGTGACTATGGTAAGTCAAATAGCATCCGATTCCATGGGAAGCGGATGGCAAATAGCGTCCAATGCCATGCCGGGGTAGTTCAGTATGGGGAGTGGACGGATAAGATAGGATAAGATCGATGTAATGATCTTTCCAGCACATAGCGAACACCAGCAGTGTCCGGGCAAAAAGGGCGCGCGCGCCTTGAACCGAAGGCAACGGCGCGCGAGCTATACTCCCGATCCTATATAACACCCCCCAAAGAGCTACCCTTAAAGTCGGAAACAGTACGTACAGTCTGGCCTAGCACCAGACTGCAAGGCGAGTGTCCTCGCAAAGCATTTTCACGCATACGCAAAATAGCCCCTTGGACATCAAAGGGCTATCGGCCCGGCGAGAGGTAAGCAAAACAGGCTATACCTCCCCGAGCAAAAGGGTATTAAAGCAAGAGCCTGAATCGATCTGAACAGGCTCGTTGCCAAGCGTGAAAAGTAAGGCTCGTTTCCGAGCAACTAGGAGGGCGCCTCTGTATTAGGCGCCCGTGCTGGCAGACTGGACCGCGGGGGCAACAAGGACAGACTAAAACTGATTTGACTTAGGCTTGTTTCTGTCCTCAGGACCCCGAAAGGGAACAAACTGCTTCGCGTCATACTTAAATGACTGGGTGCCTGACATCACCTCCGAAAGCAGCTCCCGATCGATACTCCCCTTGGTATGCCCATCTGCGGTCATGTCTCTAGTATCACACCACTGTACGTTATGTACTATACCTATATCCATGAGCTCACGTATCCAGCTGATATGTCCCAGCAAAGTCCGTTCCGCCGGTATCTTAAGATCTTTGCTGGATAGCGATTTATATACAGACTCAGCGTCTATAGTAAGGGATACTTTAATGGCTAGGCCTCCAACTTCACGCATATCACGTAGTTGTCGTGGAGTAAGTGCCCCTGCCTTGAGCTCGTGGAGAGTGATGAACGTGGGATAACATTCGTCAAGGTTGTGCGCAGCTGCAAGTGCCTCAGCGGCATAGCTGGACCTCACCTGCAGACGGTGTGATTCGCATAGTCCGTCGCAAAGGTGGATAACGGACTTGCCTTGAAGCGAGTTTCCTCGCCGTAATACGTTAGCCCCACGGATGCCGTTGCCCTTGGTATCATCGTCTTCCTCCCCGGTGAGCTTCCGATACCCCGAAACACTGTGCATGTCTACTTCGCTCGTCGGTTTCATCCGAGGGAAGGTGATGCGTTTCGGGCTGCTGATCAGCAGTCGCGTCACAGCATTCAGTCGTCTGACTTGTAAGTCGGCGGGCTCTTGGATTTTCTGGAGAGAGACCACATACACCATAAGCCAGACTTGAGTAAGAAGGGCATAGGCGAGAGCTCCTCGCAGGCTAACGAACACGTCGGCGATGAGTTGGGTAGCTTTGGCGTCAGCCGCCGCTCCAGTAAGTTCAGGGTGTGTGATAGGACGTAGTTGCATAATGTACTCGTCCTGATCCACGATCGCATCCCCTTGTTCATTCTTAGTGTAGCGAACGGCGCAGTTCGTATAAGAATGTTTGTTGAGCTTGCATTTGCCAAACACCTTTTCGACACGTTGTACATAGTCATCTACGTTTTTCTCTAGGCCTGTCATGTTGATATCGTCGACATGTTTTGCCGTTAACAGATCTTGACTGAATTCGAACTCAGGATCGTAACTTGTCGCTGCGAGGCCTAAAGCTCGCGCGGTCGTACGAAGCTTGAGGGAGAACGCTCTTGGGGCGTCCTTCGTGCCCGTCCCTGGCTTGAGGCGCCCGAGGCAATGTCGGCTCTCATCGTAAGAAGAGAAACCTGGTAGTGTCCGAAGCACCTGGGCGCTTCCGGGTGGAAGAGCGAAAGCAAACCATGCGAGTTTCATCGCCGGTGGCATGAGCAAGTTCCTCATAGGTCAGACCTTTGAGGAACGCTTCGTCAATATCCATAGATGCTAAGATCCATTCTGGATGACATGCCGCCCCACTTGCCAGGAGCCCCTGGGGCTGTCTTCGAGCAGTTCCTGAAAAGGTTTTTTAACATCAAACGCATCCGCGCCCATGAATCCGCAAAGGACAAGTCTGAGACGGATGGTTTTGACATTCTCGGTGCCTACCTTCACAAACTTCCACTTGTATACGTATCTGGATGTCATGATGTTGGCAGCTTTAGATAGTCATACATCTCAGAGCACAGGTTATCAAGCCAGATTTTGACTGCGGTGTACAAAGCTTCACTAACCTATTTAGGGCGTGCTGCTATATCGGCTTTGGTAAGCAGGTCGTCTTCTTTGACTACCACAGCGCGCTTAGCAGCCGATGCTACATATACCCTCATCGTCGCGGCCATATCGGTTTTAAGTTGTGCAAGTTGGGTCTGATCCAACACTACCTTTGACCTTTCTGGTGCGAAACATAACTCAACATATGGACCATGTTCATCACTGTCGAGAGAATAGCCCTCGTCAGATGTAGTCGAGCATAGAGAAATAAGACAGGGCTCTTGTGGTTCAGGCTCGTCTCCGAGCATTTCCGACGCTGTAATATCTTCCTCGCCCACTGATGCTGAGACCAGAACACATTGGTCGGGCAGCACAGTTGGTGGGACGCAGTAGATATGATCGTCGGTAACCGTTGTGGGACGAAGGTCCATACGTAGTTCATCGTACCACTCCTCCATCATCATAGCCTCGATGTCATGTTCCTCATTTTCTTCGTAGATTGTAAACAGGCGACTTTCACTTGGTGATGAAGCACCTGGGGTGTCTGGTGGAGGCCTGTCTCCAGGCTGGTCGTGTTCTCCAGACGTTGTGCCCAAGTGCTGATACTTGGCAAGGTCGTCATGAAATCCTAAGGAAGG